TATTATGCACACAATAACAATTATTAACAACGACGACGACGACAACGACAACGACAACGCCGGACAAAAATGTTCTCTTAATATACCTTTCCCTTCCATCTTTGATGGTACGGGCAAGGTAAAAACAAGTGAAAGGCTACCAATCGACTCACTTTTCTCAAACAGGTTCGCTGAGGTAACCCTTCGCTGCACTGTCTCCGTTACTAAGGTTACAAACTCTATATCAAAAGGTCAAAAAAACTAAGGCGTGGCGGTGTAACCAAGCGATCAGCCAATCGCTGCAGTCGACAGCATGATCACGTGATTACCAGGGATGCGTCTCTCGGTTAAAGCATTGCAAAGCGGTAACTAATAAACAATGAATAAACAAGCTATTAATCAAACTCCTGTCATCTACGCTTATAAACTTCAACTGAACTCACGAGTCGTTAATCTAAACAAAAGTCATACGGCGTGGAAACGGAATGCAAAGATAAAGCTATCATAATACATTACTTCTCTGGCAATAAAGACGGGAAAAAGACTAAAACGATAGAAACTACTGAATTACATATAAACCTGTCAATCATGAACAAAAGCTTGCGTTATCAAATAATACATATATAAGCGCACCACACTCTCATTCCAAAAAGATATTAAAAACGTTACAAAGGTGCTATCAACTCAAAAAGCGTCAGAAGTATTCCGGAAACAACACATAAACAAAAACAACTCTTAAAACGTCGATATCTCTGTACTCGACAACTCTCAACTCTTAAAAAAACTCATTGGGGCATTACTTTCCTTATCATAATGCTTACTCATAAACTCATTAAAACACCATAAAACATCACAAAACTCAAAACACTGTGTTGCAAATACTTGTCCACTGAGGCGCGCTTAAATCGTTATAAAGGACCTCGCCCGTCACTAAATATCATTTCAAAAAGAAAGATCTGGGCGCTTACATACTAGTAACATACAATTTAACACCACAAAAAAAAAACGGTAAGAAAAAAGATAGGAAAAGCAAGCAATACATTACATTACTGAGCAATGGTGTTGGGATTGTGGAAAAGAGTTCAACGTCCTGAGTTACACAGTGTCAGTTACAGTGTCCAAGGAGCGGTTCTCTAAGCAATACACAGATAGCTAAAGTCAAAGTCTATAAGCGTCTCTTCTCTTGTCGCGTTAGTCCGGGTCGTTCTTTATCATCTCCTTGTCTTTAATGTCGCTCAATAATTAA